TGATCAGAGCAACCAACTGTATCAACCGTGACCTTGGAACTGACGTCAGCGACACATGGACCGTAAACATTAGACGGCCAATCAAAACCAGTAAACAAGCACGGCTCCAGTAATATAAGGAGAAATATTACGTGCCCTTGTTAATGTACTCTGAAGATGGATCGAGTTTGGTCCGAAACGTCAGATGTCTCTAATTAAAGAACATTTTATGCGTGGTCTTCCCGTTCGTGACTAATCAAAAGGTTGTTTATAGCATTGCAATATTTGGTGAATTTCTTGACACGAAATCCAGGCCACAGTGATTTTGCCTGCAAAACCTGTCCGTATCAACTTTTCTTCTTAATAACTTGAGTCGCTGATTTTAACTCGCCTGGAATGCAAAAAAAAATTGAACAACGAATTACTTTTAACAGGCCGTTTGTTAGGTATGGGAATGAGCATCCATAAGTCATTCCTGACCACTGCAACAAATAAGTTAATTTATCGCTAACTGGTTTCTCGATACCTCTGTCTGGAAAACAGGGGATTGAAATCAATTCGAGATATTACCTGACGCTGTATAAAATATTGCCGTCTGCATAGATCCTGATCATAATATTCGGCTTGTCAATCATGTGCTTTCGTGCTTCCTTTTCATTCTGAAAAAATGTATCCGGCATCCAGATCTGCTGACTTTGATCACTTGGCGTCAAAATTAAGAAAGTTGGAATCTCGATGCCAGGACCTCTCATCGAATCGAACGCCAGTCGTTGATCGACCCACTGCTCTCTGAACGTAAACTGAGTGCTGTATTCCTTAAAATACGAAACGGACACTTCAGTTAAGACGGCTTTTGCACAATAGTCAATGTTAATAAAGTAGCGTTGCGCACCATCAAACCTTGAAAAGAATCATCCACATCTCTCATTTTACTTTCATACTTGACCAGTAACCCGCCTTATTTTCTATGATGCTGGATGACTGGATGAAACGACCGACTTATCTGGCCACAAATCGCCAGCTTGTTCTTGACAAAATCAGCCTTTCAAAAGCAAGAACTACTCACAAGACTGGTGGGACGAAATTTGCTTACCTTATAAAGTAAGTAACCCAGGATGATGAAGAAATGGAAAACCGTCTGCGGGTGACGCGCCAGCGACATTAATTAGATATCCAACCATATTTAAGTTGCAGGACGAAGTGGGTCGTTCAAACGGCTATATATGCTTCTACCATATCTTCCTGTGGGCCAAGGTATCTTGCGAATGTGACTTGTGGAAGAAAAATCTGTTTTTTGGACACAAGAAGTTCAGGGCGCCGTAAAAGCCAGGGGATATGTTTTTGGTCTGACTTGCGAGTAGGACATCGTCGACGTTCATTCGACATATCGAAACTCACAAAACTTCACCACGAGCTGCAAAGGCAAATACTTGGAAACGATTCAGCAAAAATCTGTTTGACCGGTATTCGACAACCAGTCTTCTTACACACAATTCGTCGTTTGTGCCTGAGAAGATCAGACAACCAAAACAGTGAATGGTCAGAAGGTATCCTTGCGACCATCACGGAAGATGCGCTCAGTAAACGGTCAGAACATTTTTGAGGATATCCCCAACCAAGACTCGACAGACTCTCACAGACACCAATAATGATTTGATTTGCATTTGGAAAAGAAGATATTTTCGGTGTGGCTGAAGTTACAGCCGTTATTAAATCGTTCTGTAGCAGGCAAAGCAGGCCTTGCTTAACGTCCTGTTCCCATCGACCGGTGATGACAGTTCCAGGTGGAAAACATACACATAGGAATGTGCTCTTAGTAAACGTGATTGTGGATAAATCTGTGGTGGGAAATGCACTGGTGGAGAACGCCGAGTGGCTCTAACACTCGAAGAACAGGTGTAGAAGATTTGGTTCGTTGCTGAAGAGGACTGGTCGCCGACACTTTTATTTTGATGACTGACTTGATAACTTGTCTGTGCCAACTGCTTGCATTTTCGAAATGGGCAATAAGGTTGTACGACCAGGCAGTGGTGTGTCTCATCCCCAAACGAATATCACTGTTGAAGCGGCTGATAGGGTGGACTCTTCCAGCAGCAAATTCGCTGCACATAGCACAGCAGATAAGATCAGCGCGTTTGAAGACACCGTGCCTAAAGATCCATGGTAACATTGGAAGAGATGAGTTCAAAGCAGATTTAATTCTCCCTCAGACAGCATGGATCACAAACGAAAACTAATGGCGGAAGGTCTATGCTGATCACGGCACATCTGCTTCCAGAAGCGGAGCTGCAGACATTCTATGACAACCAGGGAGGTCCGTCGTTGATGGAATAGACAACCGAACTTGAAGTCGCGCTACGTCAGTGCGGACGTCAATAACCAGCTGTGGAGACGCAGCAGGTATTTAAGTACATAGTTGATCTGGCGCTTAGTGCTGTTGTGCCCGCAGCTCATAACCCCCCTCCCAACCCTCCGTTCATGCACAGTCAGTCAGGAAATCTTGCATTCCTTGTGGGGGAGTTCGGATCTGAGAAAACGAGGACCGAGCTTCTTGAACTGAAACAGCAACGTGGAGAAACGCTGAAAGAATTAGGGAGCTACGGAAAAGCTTTGTTGAGTAACTGAGCACCATCCGAAAGGCGAGATGTGTCATGCGTCGGTAAGTGTAGTGATGAATCGGGAAGCCACACGTGTTTGCGGCAGTATTTTTACGGCCATGCGGACCAGGACTTCACGAGTGTTGTGCTTCGGATCACCCACGTTTTGAAGGAAAATGTAGCCAACTCTGATAGCCGGTGACCCAAGGTTCAATTCTATGAAAATGTTGCAGAACAACGGTGGGCAAAGACTGCGGAGTTTAATGTTCTACGCGTTGCATTGCAGAGACTGCGGCAAGAAATGGAACAGAAGAAATTGACCCAGGGCGCCACAGAGATCACCACTGAGGAGCGACCGAGTGACGAAAGCGTCCCTTTCCACGATCGCGACCGACTAACATTCACGTTAAATGAAGGCATGCACGTTTTAATTGTGCGCACAAGAGTCGTTTTGTTGCGGAGTGCCGTCACGTAGGGAATCATCATGAGTCGGATGAAAGCTAGTATTTAACGGATCCGGCAAGATGGCAAATTTTAGAAATGCAAACGAGGTAAGTCCAAGTTTAGAGCCTATGAATGGCCAGATTGAAATGGTTGCGTTAATATAACAGTGGCCAAGTCGGCCTCACTAACGGTTGTCATTGGGGTTGGGATTGCTACAGAAGAAGGCGAAGTTATTGATGGGTTTATCAGTTGCTTACCCATGGTGTCCCCTAGCTCAGTAGATGGCACGACTATTCTCGTGAATGTTGATGCCACAAAGGCCAAACAAGCATTGGCGCTAACGAAGGATTCGTGCTTGATATAAAAGGGAGCATGCAATGTCCCTGCGGACAGCGTGGCTTTGAGTCACAAAACCCGACGGCTACATCCTCGTGGCCTTAAGAACATTAACAACAGAAATAGTCGGCACGTGGTTACGCAGTTGAAACTCTCAACGCTGCAAGAGGATGGTGGACTAGACAGCGGTGAGAAGGGTTCTCGTAGAAACTCACCTCTGGAGAGAAGCATCTTCAGCGTTGCTGAAGACCGTATTGTAGCTACGGTTGAGTCAGAATCAGCAGGGAACATGCCTCAGTGAGACTCATGACCGGGCAGGTGTGGCGGAACCAAGGAAGCGGAGTTTCGTCCTAACCGAAGTTAAGGATTACATGCTCAACGACCTGCACCGTGTATAGATAGAATAATTTGGCGCATTAGGCGGCGCACAACTCGCAAGAACTGCATGAAATTGTGACAAACCTTGGTAAATAGGAGAGATTTGCTCGGTGAAATACTGCTGCTGAAACAGAAAGTGCAAAATTTATGTATAATTCCGTGTGGCGGGCTGCTACAGCTCAAAAGTGGCAAATCTTTTTGGGAATACGAAATACCCAACTAAGATGCCAAAAACCGTCATCGCGGTGGTATTCAATGGATGAATTTGATATGCCACATTATGACGAGTTGCGGAAAAGTCAGCGGAGTAGCATCCGGTATGGTTGCGACCAGATTCAAGAAATTGCTCATAGAGACCGTGTAAAGGCCGACTACTGAGGTATCTCCCTGTTTGATCTTTCAGTCAGATTTATGCAAATTTGCGCCTATAAACAGCAAAGAATAAAATTCAGAACGAGCAATGTCCCATCCGTTCTAGTTGCAGAATCTTAGATCTTGACCCTTCGCCGAGTTTGTTGAAAATTTTGGTAATATATTAAGAAGTGTTAAGCCTGCTTCATATACTCGTAGAGCTGGAGAG